TATATATATATATATATATATATATATATATATATATATATATATATATATATAGAAAGAGAGAGAGAGAGTGTGTGTGTGTGTGTGAGAAATGGGTATGCTTGGTACCAATCACAAATTTTGTGTTTGGTAGTGAGGTGTCATATTCTCATCCACTCATTCCAATTCCTAACCACTCCCCAACCTATGTGAATGTGAGCCCCGATATATATATATAGAAAGAGAGAGAGAGAGTGTGTGTGTGTGTGTGAGAAATGGGTATGCTTGGTACCAATCACAAATTTTGTGTTTGGTAGTGAGGTGTCATATTCTCATCCACTCATTCCAATTCCTAACCACTCCCCAACCTATGTGAATGTGAGCCCCGATATTAATGAGTGGAGGGGAATATGTCACCTCACTACCAAGCACAAAAACTTATGTTTAGTACTAAACATACCCATTTCTCTCTCTCTCGTGTGTGTATAGAGAGAGAGAGAGTGTTACTTCTATAGCACTTTTACTTTCATGAACTTGTCAGAGTGTTACTTCTATAGCACTTTTACTTTCATGAACGGTCAGTGTAACTTCTATAGCACTTTTACTTTCACCAACGGTCAATGGATGCTTAAGAACTTAAGAACTGTCTTCACTTAACAAATGCAATTTATAGAACCCATGAAATGAAACTTACCAGTTCATTAGAGCTGCGGCATTAGACCATAGGAAGACCACAAGCATGGCCATAATTGACACGTGGCACAAAAGTGTAAGCAGATTGTACTCCAATACCTCGAACAAAAACCATGCCAAGGTTCCGCCAATGAGCACTGCCGCCGATGACCGTTTGTCTCTCCACATCACGATATCAGCAACTGTTGGTAGCTCATTCAGCAAAATCATTTAATTTATATTTTTAATCCCTCCAGTTACGTGTAATAGCAGCAAGATATACGAATTAAGAGACCCATTCAGGAAATAATGTGGAAGTTTCATGTGAGATATAAGCGTGTGTGATTAGTTCCTCATGTGTTATCATTTGTATAGTATTATCATTCATTATCCGATAAGATGTTTGTGAACCTTAAGAAGAGACTTAGAAATACTAGGGCTTAAAGGAAATTTCAGAGCAAAGGGAAATGATTAATGAAAATCTCATTGAGGGCTAAAAATAAGAGGGTGTTTGGGAAGACTTATTTTTTTAAGCTTTTATAAGCTATGCTAGCTTTTAGTGGCTTTTGGATTTTTGGATAAAAATGCTATAAAAATTATTTGAGTAGAATAGTAATTTGTTTGGTCAAACCTAGCTTTTTTTAATTGAGCTTATAAGCTAGTTTTTCAAAAGCTAGGGTATACCAGCTTTTTAAAATGGGACTTATATGCTAACTTATTACACATTTTACCAAACAAATAGAAATGAAAAAGCTAGTTTGACCAAAAAAATAAGCCTCCCCAAACACCCTCTCTAAGTCAGTTGAATTTAAACTATACTAGAAATATTTGCATTGACATTGATGCT